AGCAAGAAAAACAAGTTAACAAATTCATATACAATAGGAATTCAACAAACAATTCCTCATGGTCCCCCTAAGCTATCAATGTTTTAAATTAAAATTCTGTTGCAATTTATGCAGCCATTAGTGCCTTTGAAGCAGATACACATACGCACAGAGGGGAACTTGGTATTACAGATCACTCGGGTTAGAAGCAAGGTGGAATCAGTGGGGGGGAAAAAAAAAAAAAGGGTATTCAATGTTTATAATAGATGATGAAAACAATCATACCTACCCTACTCACTAAACAAAATTCAATACCTTACCAAACAAAACTCTTAAGAAACAACTTAAGACTTCGAATGAGCTTACATCTTTCAAACAACAACCTTGCTTGGAATTTCTTATAATTCATTCTACAAACAGCTGTAGCACATTTTTTACATTAAACAAGGATATTAAACTTGATAGGATACCAGTCTGACTTCAGCTGGATACCTTTTGTTCCACGCATTTTGTTTTAATGAATCACTGACCACATTCAAAAAAGCAGCAGCTGAACATGAGGTTCTAGACAGACTTCCTACCCTGGATGCAGGGTATCAATGGGAGAGGATTATTACCATCACCCTCAGCTACAACAGCCTGAAGGACAAGCGCTGGTTTGTTTTTACTAAAATAAACAGATACACAACCTTGAAGAACATGCAAGAGTTTAAACACACACTGAACCTAAGTGAGCATAAAAATAGTATTTTTGATGGGATTTTTCTGTACGCCTCCAAACACTGCAGTTAGTTGAAGTGATCCCCAAAGTTTTTCAGAACTTTGAGAAGTCCAGTTATTTGTCAGCAGCAATCCCAGGAGGTCCCTCACAGGCACACAAGTGTGCTTACACAAGATATCCAAGAATGCACATATCTACACCAAGAACTAGAAAGTGCCATGAGTGCTTAGAGCTTAGTATTGTACTCTACTCACACAAAAAGCGAGTCTAAAGTTAAATAATTATGTTTGCAGAAGCATTGCTTAGTCTTCATAATAGGTCCTATTGTATTACTTGTTCATCCAGTTGTATCTGATACAAACCATGCTTCTATAAAAAGACAGCATCTTTCTGTGTGTGTGTGTGTGTGTGTGTGCATCTGAAAAAAAAAAAGAGTGGCTACACACACATGAAAAGGAAAGTTGCAGCAGACAAAACAGTAACAGCAGAAAAAGTAACATCCTCCCTACTCGCTCAATTTAGCACTGCTTGAGTGCTGGGAGTGAGGTCTGTGCTTGTTTTCAGAGCAGAAAACGTAGCCTCATCTCTCACAAGTGCATGTAATGTCACAACACAGAGTAAGGCACACTTCATAAAAGCGGCGGCCATAAAACTGATGGGTTTGAGATTACATCTGCAAGATACAGTGACAGAAGGAAACCCCCAAAATTGACACACTGCTTTTCCTCTTACTCCCACACTAACAGCATTTAAACTCCATTAGCCATCAACTAGCAGCACTTTATGATTAGGTCAGAGTGGAAATAATTTTAAAATAATAATAATAATAATAACAATAATAATAAAAAGGTATCTCTCAGCTGAGGTAGCATCCAAGATAAATGGAGCTCAAGTAAGCGCACCTATTTTCATTGCAAAAAGCAAATCACAGAATCGCAGCACAAAGACTGTTCTGTGCATTATTGCTGTCTGTGTAAAGAGGCCCCAACGCCACTTTCAGGGATGCACTTTAGAACAGGCAAATACATTTTCATTTGTCATTCCCATTCTAATACAAAACTAAGAATCCTTGCGTGAATACAGTTTTTAACTATAGTTTTAAACCTCTTAAAACCACGTGGGACAATTGACCAATACTGCCTTTGTATAGTCACATAATCCTAAAGGCTTGACTATGCAACAAAACGAAGGTGCAGCTTCAGCAAACCCTCCCAGCTGTGTGGCTTCTTTCCAGTTATTGTCACCATACCATTGCTACCATAATAACCTACTCCTGATATTGTTACCCTATCACCACGGATTCAAGTCACTGGTGTCACACAACTGCTCACCCTCTCCTTGCTGCAGCTGCTCGAGCAGCCCTGCTGGGTGGTGGGTCCCTGCCAAACTGCCGGAACTCTGGGGGCAGGAGGGCTGATTCCCCCAGTCCCACCTGAAGCAGAGAGAGAACTGAAACACCAGGTTGTCTTCTGCAGCAGGCCACCCAGACGGAGAGACGGAGCCGGGGGCCACCCTGCCTCCTGCCCTGCCAGGGAGAGGCTGGGTGCAGCTGTGAGGGGGTCATCTCAGCAGGGCAACCCCCTGTGCTGCCGGAAATCCGAGAGAGGTGATTTACGGGCAGGATTCGTTCCCATCCCACTGAGCAGAGAGTTCAGCTGAAAAGTATTAATCTGGGCCCTGTAAGCTTGTTAAATAATGAACTTTACCCTTAGGCTGAAAAAAAAAAAGGGGGAGGCAGTGTTGCACAAGCTTATCAGTGCCCACTTGCTGCAGAACATGCCCTTGCAAGAGCTGTGTATGAAGAGCTACTACTATTCATATCTGTAACGCTTCCAAGTCACTGCAAATCTCTCTAGGACAAGCTTAATGCATAACACTTACTCACCTGCACAAAACCACAATTCCCTTATTTTCTGCCCAGCTTCTCCTCCTGTGTTGGAGGACCCTCAACTTCATCCATACTTTTAAAAGTGTTTCTAAAGCTGAAGTTCTTAAAATAGGAGTAAAGAGAAATAAATACATCGTGTAAAGAGCAGACCCAAAAGGCTGTATGACCTGCACTTAGGCATCAGTTTAACATGCGGCAGTACGGCATATGGGCAGAAAGTAAAAACAGAGGAAGCATAACATCTATGAACACAAACTCAAGTGATCACGCATTTTTTGTCGAAGTTAAGAAAGTTCAAGTAGATGACTTTTCACTGACAATATAGTCATATTTTCCTTGAAACAATTACTTACAGTTTACTTATTCAATTCTTTCATAATTACTTCAAACATTCATCTCAACATTCTCTCATCGCTGGAACAAATACGCACAGTACTCACTCACTCAAACAGTTCCAGCAAAAGCAACAAACTCACAACTAAAGACTTCCAACGTGACTAAGTCAGCTTGGATCCAAAGTCATTCTTTCTCTCTCCCTACTACTCACCAGTAGGCAGGCGCAAAAACCATTTCTCCGTTAACGTAATCGCTTAACGCAGGCTATCCCATTCACTTCCCGGTCTCTTGACCTTTCTTCCTCTGGTTTGCTGACAGTTCCCCTTTTTCCAGGGAGCACTTGCACTTCTACATAATGCACTGCAGTGGTAGCTCCAAAAGACTTTGAAGCTTCTTCAAGAAACCGAGTGACTGTCCACAACACGTGCATGGGTACATACAGCATCACTTAAGGGAATAGCTTCACTATCAGCTGTTCTACCTCAGCAGTTTAAGTGTACAAAATATGCACCATGCTCCAGCTCGGATTCTTTCTATGCCTTCAGCATAAGCTATTCTGAGGCTTTATAACTCAAACACCAGTTTCACAAGTAAATAACTGCCTTAGAGTCACGGGCTGGAAAGAGTTGAGGTATTTTTACCCTCCACTGAGTTCTGCATTTTTTTATAAATAGTCTAAGTGATAAGAGTGACCAGCTGAATTGCTTTTGTGTTTCTATTTTTAAATACTTCAGTTTGAAAAATACCTGATAAATGTTTAAGCAATATGATCACTGATAACATATTAGCATTCTGAACATTGCAATGCAAGCGTTTGGCTGTAATTAAAATATTTTAAGAGAGACTACAGTACACTCAGTAACCTTTTCCGTGCAGAATATTATTTAAAAAGCATGAATTCTGTGAACAACGTATGGTCTACAACACCTGAAATAAGTACAGCTAGCGTACACTATCAAAACTCGACTTCCCATGTAGTTACAGTAAAATCTCCCAAATTTCTATTCAGTAAAACAAACAACATGGGGAAAAAAAAAAATCAGATCAGCTTAACTTTCAATCCACACACTCCCCACCCCATACTGAAATGAATAATGAATGAGCTGGGTCATGATTGCTTTCAATAAGTATGTCAGAAATCTTCAAAACAATGAGATGAGGGTAAGAGTTGTCATAAGCTCAGACATCAAAGATCTTCCTAGTAATGCCACATGCTTATACAACCACGTACTATACATCATTTTTATGCATCAGCATACCGGGAACTACAAAACCACAAGCACCAAAGGTACTTGAAGTCTACGTTACGAAACTTCCTACGCAAACAAAAATTAACACAGAGTTGTAAGTATTTGTGACTAGAATCTAAGAATTCAAGCCCAACTTTCGCCGCGCGCCTGGGCAGAATGAACATTTTCAGCCTCGAGCGTGTCACCTCCTGTCAACTCCGTCACGCAGCAGCAACTCATCCAGAGTGTCAATAACTGCAAGAGACTTCGCAACAAATGGGAAGTCTCGGGTTTTGTTGTCATCGCCTCGCCCCCCCCCCCGGGCCCGCCTGCCCCCCAGAGCGTTTC